CAAGAAAAGGAGCTTTTTCTAAGTGCCCAAGCTACCTGCATTCACTCCTCTCAACAGCCACCTGAAGTAAATACTATTCTTATACCCTTTAAAGATGGAAAACCAGGCACATAAAGGGAGGAATAACCGAAGATCACGCAGCTGAAAGTGTCAGTGTTGGGATCAAATGTAGGCCAACTGATTCCAGAAGCTAAATTTGGTTCCCAACAAAAATATGTCTTGATGCTGGGAAAACAGACACCACAAGGCTGCCCTGTGAGGGAATGTCATGATGACACCTCAGAGGGTTGCAGTTTGAGACTGAATCATGACGTGAGCAACTGGTAACACAGGGTTCCTAGCGCCCAGGGCCCAGGCCAAAACTGCACCCTAACCAGCATCAGCTAAGGCAAAAAGTCTACATTCAGTTGCAAGAAGGGCTCAAGCTGTAGGATCTACATCCTTGTTCTGCTCCGAGAGACGTGAGGGAGCGAGCCTCTCCGGCCACTGTGGCATCGCCACGCTCGGGGCAGCTCTGAAATGGACACGGCTCACATCCACACGGACAGTGACTTCCAGGCAGCAACTTACTGTCTCCAGATCTCCCTCCGGCGCAACAGCATCTCCATTTGGTAAGGGATGACTGGATGCAGGGGTGGAATCAGGAGTTGCTGTTTCCATGTTAGAATGAACTGTCTTCTCCCTTTCCCGGTTCAGCTTAAAACCAAGCAGATCAGGATGAACAGTCAGAAGCTGGGTACATTCAATCATGCAGCCAAGCCCACCACTCTGCTGACTGAAAAAGAAACGGCAGCAGGAGCCGGAGGAAGCAAAGGTCCGATGATGACAAAGGCTGCTTCCCAGCTCAGTGCTCTACAGAATATGCTTCTAGACCCCAAAAGATTTTTTTAAACTAGGTATTTCCTGTCATAATTTTAGGTTGAACATCAAACGTTTTTTTTCACCATGCCTGGCTGGTGTGCCTCACTGGTTGAGTGTTGACCTATGCACCAGAGGTCATAGGTTTGATTCCCAGTTAGGGCACATATCAGGGTTTTGGCTCAATCCCCAGGGGGGGGGAGGGGGGGCGCGTGCAGGAGGCAGCCTATCAGTGATTCTCATCATTGATGGTTCTATCTCTCTCTCCCTCTCCTTTACTCCTCTCTCTAAAATTTAATAAAAACATATTAAAGATTTTTTTTCTCACCATAAATTTAGATAGTGGCAAAGAATGAAATTTATGATATATTTTTTAAGTTTACATTTAAAAATAAAATTATCGTAGAATTCATTCTAAAAAAAAATAGAACTCATTCTAATGCAGCTGAAGGAATCTAATTATGGTAATTTGATACCCAAACCTATCGTTTAAAAAAATATTAACTCCAAGTCATTTATTCTTGATCCCTGATTTCATATTTTCATTCCATTTCTTCCACATAAGTGTATCTCAATGTTATTCATTTTATTCTTGAAAGTATTTAACTGATCACTTTATACTTGCCTGCACACAATAACTATATATGTATATATTTGAAATTCACTTGAAAAGTTTTCTGAGACCACAAGTCTCCAAACATTAAATTTTACACAACCAATAATCTTGGATAAACGTAAATAAAAATATCCTCCTTTGGTTTAAAATAAATGTTATAAAAAATATAAAGCACCTACTTACGTCCAATGTAACTTCCTTTTCCTTGACGATGTAAGTTGACGAGTTGGACAGAAAGGCAAAGCTGTTCTCCTACACCGCCTTCAAGTCGTGGAAAACACACAAATTAGACCAAAACCCTGCACATAAGTGAGAGAACTCATCTAGGTCCTTTCCCATAGCTGCCCATGGTGCAAACACAGAGGGGACAGAGGGACCCACTTTGAGGCCCATTCGTGGTTCCCGGAATCCTTCTTGTAAATCCTGAATGTTTTAATTCTGAGACAGATGGATAAGGTACAGAACCTTGCTGTAAATTTACTGCCTGAACCAAAATTTTTTTCTGATACTCTCTATGCTTCTTCTCTGATCTCCCAAGAGCTATGCAGTCTTTCTCAATATTAAAAGGCAAGATTAAAAAAAACACACAAAAGGGAGACTGGGATGAATTCCTTTTATGGAAAAGTGGGAGAAAGGTGACCAGGAAAGGCGATCAATTTTAGAGTACTACGGGCTTTTGCAATCTGTAAGTGTACCCCTAACCCCATGCCTTTGGAAAGACTTCTGTGCTCAGAGGGATCTCAGGAATTGTATTTATAAATACATTCCCTTCCTGTGTTTTTGTTTGTTTTTCTTGTCATGATTCTCTCTGGCTATGTATATCTTGTCTAGGTCCTCTGCGGACAATTGTTCAGTTCAGGAACCACAACTACATTTATTTAGAGCGTTAGAGATGCCAGAAGGTAATACAATTAAAAAAAAAAAAATCGCCCTAGCTGGTTTGGCTCAGTGGATAGTGTGTCAGCGTCCAGGGTTCGATTCCAGCAAGGGCAGTAGGGGGCGTGCAGGAGGCAGCTGATCAGTAAGGTCTCCTTCATCACTGATGTTTCTCTCTCCCTCTCCCTTCCTCTCTGAAATCAATAAAAACATATATTAAAAAAAAAAATCCCAGTGAAAGAGCCCCAGCCATGGGGGGTCAGGGCTCCTTCCTGCCTCCTCCGCATTTCCCTGCCGAATGCTTGCGGTGCTTTTTTGGCTTCCCTTCCCTACAGGCTGTTGTTTCCTCTGAGGACCGGACAGCCCTGAACTCCAGAGACGCCCCGAGCCAAGTCCGCTGGGCGAGGCGTGTCTCGTTGCCAGCCATGGTGACGCGGCGCAAAATGCCAGGACGAGAAATGGAAACTATGTCGTGCAAAGTTTTTGCAGAAAAGCCGCCGGTTGGCGGGGCTGTTCTGGGTCGGTCTCCCGGGAGCCTGGGCAGCCGGAAGGCGACCCGACTGTGCTCTGGCCCAGCGAACAGCGTCCTTCCCATCAGGACTGTTATTAGCAGCCCCGCAGCGACCACACCCCGGACGCCCGAGCCGCCCGCCGCCCAGACGCCCCGCTCCGAGCCCGGCGGGGGGAGGCCGCGCACCCGCACCCGCACCCGCACCCGCACCCGCACCCGCACCCGCACCCGCACCCGCACCCGCACCCGCACCCGCACCGGGCAGCGCTCCACTCACCTGCCTCCTCGCCGCGGTGTGCCTGCGCCCCGGAGGCTCCTCCGCTTTATGAAGCCGGTGCTCCGCCCCTTCCCCACCCCCCCCCCCCCCGCCTCCTCCGTTCCCCCGGGTCTCGCGGAGAACTGAAACTCCAGGCGCTGGAAGGGCCGGCGAGCCCAGAGCCCAGAAACGAAACCGATGCGCCTCCCCTGCGCCCCGCGCTCGGCCGCAGCCCCCCAGGCTCTCCGAGTGCGCACACGCCGGCTGGGCCCAGAAACCTGAGGGGGTTTTGTTGGTTTGTTTTAAGTAAGTTTGTATTGATTTTTTATTTTTTTTAGGGGGGAGGGGAGAAGGAGGAGGAGAGAGAAACTAGGATGGTTTGCCTCCCGCACGCAAGTACGCACGCGCCCCCACTGGGGATGGAACCCTCAACTTGGGTATGTGCCCTGACTGGGAGTCCAACCGGCGGCCTTTGGGTGCGCGGGAGGGTGCTCAGCCCGCAGAGCAGCAGGGGCCAGGGCACCTCCTGAGTTTCATCAGGCAGCGCAGAGGTTTCTGGGGCGCTGTTTGAGAACTGCTGCTCTAAAAGCCTTGAGAGATAGATAGATAGATTAGATAGATAGATAGATAGATAGATAGATAGATAGATAGATAGATAGATAGATAGATAGATGATAGATAGATAGATGATAGATGATAGATAGATAGATAGATGATAGATAGATAGGTGATAGATAGATGATAGATAGATAGGTGATAGGTGATAGATAGATAGATAGATAGATAGATGATAGATAGATAGATGATAGATAGATGATAGATAGATAGGTGATAGGTGATAGATAGATAGATAGATAGATAGATGATAGATGTTAGGTTAGGTGGCTCAGGAGGCGGCACAAGAAATAGAGTCCAGTGAATCAGAAAAGAAAGGAAAGGAAAAGGTTTATTCTGCGTCCCCGGGAGACCCACGTACCCCAAGGACAGGGCACGTGGATTCACCCCAACAGGGAGGGGGGCGCTTTTTTTATACTGCGGTTGGGTGAGGGGCAGGGACAAGAGCTGAGGAATTCTCTGCTGCAGGGAATGGGCGGAATATTCAGGATGAAGTTCTTATCTGTGTGGGGGTATGTGAATTCAGGGAGAAGAAGCTGGTATCTGTGTCTGGCACCTTGATCTGTGAGAAATTCCAGGGGAAGTCCATTATCTTGTCATGTCTGCATGTATCCGATCCTGGGCTCTCTCCGACCTAACAATAGATAGATAGGTTGGTGATAGATAGATAGATAGATAGATAGATAGGCCTTGAGTCCTGCAAAGCTGAACTAGCCTTGAACCTAGAGCAGCGGTTCTCAACTTTGGCTGCACATTAGAATCACCTGGGAATCTTTTTAAAATCCTGATTTCTGGGCCTCATCCTCCGGAAATTCTGTTTCTTTGTTACTAATGTTGTGGCCCCACCCCATAACAAAGAAACAGAATTTCTGGAGGATGAGGCCCAGAAATCAGGATTTTAAAAACATTCCCAGGTGATTCTAATGTGCAGCCAAGGTTGAGAACCACTGACCTAGAGGGTCCCTTAAGCCCTGGTCTCAGAACAGAGGCACTGACAATAATTGGGGTCTTCCTGCTGGAGGGTCTCGGGGATCCTTCCAGCATCAGCAGGGCTTCTTTTTTTTTTTTTTTTTTTTTTTTTTTTTTTTTTATTAGTAGCTGTTTATTGATCAACGGTTTGATATAAAGTTATTTCAGATCTTCAGAATTTGCCCAAATGGAATCACAAGCATTACAAAGTTTTCTTTTTCCCTTAAAAAAAAGGATAGGGGGCAGGTTGGGAGTACTAGCAGTAGTGACATTTGAGAATAAATTAACAAAAAAAAAAATTTAGTCTTATCATTTATTGGTGACAAACACTAAGTTTTACTTACATTCCATGGGGAGAAAAATTCCAGCGTAAACAATGAATCAAAGCAGTACTTAACTTGCAAGCTACCGTGCTTTCCATCTGGACCATGGGCAGGACCTTACTGCACACATTTCTGTGCACAGTAACAACATCAAAAGCAACAGTTTTAGAGATAAACATAGGTAGGTGATTCTTTTCAGCCCTACAGGGAGATGTAATCAACAGTATAAAGCACTCAGGAAAACGAATCTGCAATTTTATATGTACTACATGGAGATCATATCCTGTAGTGTAGTGAAAGCTGTGTGTCCTCAAGAGCCATATGTATATACACACAATTTTAATAACCTTTAAAACAAAGATCAAAGTTCATTTAAGTCCTGTTGCATTAAAAATGAAATAGCAAAGGAGCCAAATGATTGTTTAAAGTTTAAAATTCCTAAACTGTCCAATTTATACAACTGTGGGAGACTTCATCAAGATTTCTGAGAAATCCAGGACTGTTTCAGCTAAACCAGAGGGCAGACAATTTACATCACTGAAATGGTCCTGGGTTAGTCCAATAAAATAAAAATGTATAACCATATACACATGGATTTAATCTTTGCCAGTTAGATTATTGATAAAGTCAGTCTCAGAAAAGTTTCTAAACTGTGCTATGTAACTAGATACAATTGAGAAACTCAAATGAAAATTTATATAGTGTCATTTCAATGGAAAGAAAATAATGAAACACAGAATATATATCTCTTTTGGAAAAGAAAGCAGTGGTGATTGTGATGGTGTAGGTACCACAGAAGGTGATGGCCAGCACGCTAGAAAGATTAGTTTGCGCTGAGTAGGAAGCATTTGATTTTTCTCTGGTGCTTTCGGCTCTGGGCCAGCTGGTCCAAGGCCTCTCTCTGGCGTGGGTGTCCAGGATTTGTCCCAAAGTGTTTGAGTGAGCCAGTTTGAGAAGGGGTCGTGCTTTCTGCTTTCTTTTTCTTCTTTCACACAGCAAAAAAATACAAACAAAAATGCACCTCAAAACCAAGCAATGAGGTGCCTAGGGCATAGACCTGCTGGTTTCCAATTGAGCCAGGGCTGCTTGGCAGGCCCCATCTTCTCTTCCCCTACAGCTGCTGCTGTGTGAGGACAAACCATAGCACACGTGAGCACAGCCATGGCCACCTCCTTGCATTCCCGCCTTCGTCACCACTGCTGTCTCCAGTTCTTTACCCATCATGTCTCTCGGCCCACTGGAGGTATCAGAAATTCCAAATTTTCAAAGCAGTTTCAGTATTTTCAGTATATGTTGGGGATTTTACAATGGTTCATGGCCAGAAGGGATTCAGCACCTCCCACACACAGACATTGGTCCATTTCCTGTTCTTGGCATCTCTGTACTTTGTTGGTCCAACTCAGACAGCAACTTTAAAATATTCAGTGCAGCCATGTCATGGCAGGACTCCAAATCCTTCCCAATACCGTGGCTGATCAGAGGTGGCTGAGAGGAGCAATTGATAAGAGATACAAACTCATTCTTGTTGTTTTTGGGGAAGTCTTTGTATTCAACCTGGAATCCCTGGACTCTGGAAAGATAATCCAACTGCTCAGAGGGTCTTGTGAGAGGTCCATGGGGTACGTGGCCTGAAGAGATGTTATTCTTTAAAATGGTCTCAGCTGTGGGCGAGGTGCCCCCATATAACAATTCACGGGCTATCATGGCAGTTACTGTGGCCTTGGCAGGATTCGGAGCTGCCCGGGTAAAATCTTTGGTGTGATGTCCTTGACTGACTCCTACGGCCTGGGCAACCTCGGGCACCATAGGAAGAATTCCAGCAGGCAGCTGCTGATGACTAAGATAAGGCATCCTAAACTCGTCCTCTTTATTGCTAGTCCCATTTTCATCCCCAGAGACAGGTTCAAAAAAGGTTACTTTTCTTCCATCCCCTGGTTTCTTTATCGGTGTCTTCTCTTCTGATTTGAGGGCTGGTTTGGTGGGCTGAGCCTGCGGGACTTTGAAACCAAGAATCTCCAGCATGTTCTCAGCTGCGTTGCATTTGGCCACCTTCTTATTGGTGCCTGTTCCCTCCGCAGTATGGTTTCCAACCTTCATCTGCATCACAAACTCCCTGCGGCGCGGGAGGCCTCGCTCTGTGAGAAGCATGTACTCCGGTTCCTTCTCCTTTTTCGCCTGCTGGATCTGGGCCAGTCTGCTAATAGGGTTCATCACCTGGCCATGTTCTGGGCCACTCTGTACCCTGACTATGGGTTTTGTTTTCTTTTTGATTCGGGGCTTCACCCGCTCAACTACAGGCAGGGGTGGTAACTTCTTCAGCTCCTCAAGAATAGCTATAGCAGCGTTTTTCTTTGAAATCTTCTTGCTCTTCCCTTCACCTTCCCCCACAAACTCCCCAACGGACACCTTGGTCACAAAGCTCTTCATGTGGGGTGGGCCAGTCTCCCGGGCGACCTCAAAATTCACAGGCAAGTTCCGTTTAAGTGCAATCTCAAACACTTGACTTATTTCAGATTTATTGAGATTTTCTTCCTCTGATTCTCTTCCATTCACCTCCAGTCTCTCAGGCGGGGGCTCATTCTGCAGGATCCTCAAAGCTTTTGCAGCAGCATCGTGTTTTGCAGCTTGTCTTGTCTTTCCTTTCCCATTAAATTGCTGTCCTCCCACAGAGAGTTCAACTTGATAAAGTAAGGGTGGTACTGGAAATGGGTAAAAGTACCTTGGGGGATAAGCACCTCCTCTCATGTTGTAGTTATAGGTGGACTGCATCCGAGAATAAGGGTCAACAGGCTTATACATTGGTTTTTTTCCAAGTTTCATGCACAGTGCATTTAGCTCTACAGTAGGGGTTATGCTGTCTGGCTGCTGCCTGGAGCTTGTCCCCCCCGACCGGCGGTCCTGGGCGGCGGCGGCGAGGAGGGGAAGAAGGAAGGAAGGAGGGAGAGAAGGAAGGGACGGCGGGAGGGAAGAGGCGGAGTGGCCGCGGAGGAGGCTGGCGCCGCCGAGCCGGGGGTGGTGAGAGGAAGGGGGAGCCGAATCTGACGCGGCCACCGCCGGCGCAAACGCTGAGGAGCCGCTCCGGCGCCCGCAGCCCGGCAGGAAGTCTCAGCAGGGCTTCTTAAGCATTTTTACCGCAGTGCCAGCTTCCCCATCGCGCCCTACCCCTGCAGACCCACATCAGCTTCCTCCTCCCCCACTTCTCCGGGTCCACCTCAAGCCTCCCTGGCAGTCTGATTTCTCTGGGGCAGAAATGGGTGGAAAGTAGGGACTGAGGTCAAGCCAACCCAAGAGTGTCCGGGTCCCCCGTCCCCCCCCCGCCCCCCCTTTTTTATTTTTTGGGACTCTGGGAGTGAGGAAAAACATTCTGTTTGCAAAGGGCATCCACTACCTCCATTCTCCTTAGTTCAGCTCAGAGTCCTGGACAACAACACACACACCCCCAAACACATATACACCCAAATACTCCTGTGACTAGGAGGGGCCCCCACCTCATTCAAAGGCACAAAACCAGGCCTAGCTCCAAGTGTTGGGGTCAGGAAAAGCCTGGCTGGAACCACATTCAATATGGCCACCCTAGAGAGACTGGGAACAGGCCACAGTGCAGCCTGAGGCCTGCCTTACTCCGCAGGGGACATTGCTGGTCTGGGCAGTGCCACCCAGGGCGGCTTGTTGGGAGAACACTTGCCCTCCCAGTAATTAACAAGAAACCTTTGTGAGACCACTCACCTGCGGGGCCGAAAAAAGCAATACATTTCCTCCCACCTTTTATGTTCTAGTTTGGCTAAGACGGATTAACAAGAGAAAAATCGAATCCTAATACATGGGCATGCTGAATTCACATAAGCATGAAAATTCCAGGCAGCCAGGCAGAATTGGGTAATATATATTTTGGAAAAAAGGAGAAAAGGGGTGGAATAGCGTCTTAGATCTCAGAAGTGAAAATGGGGGACTTACGGGTAGTTGAGGGAGAGCAGGACACGTATGGCCGACAAATTCTTCCCGGGAAACCCAGAAACAACGGGACAGGGTGCCGAGCTAATTCACACCAGACAGAGGTGAACAGAACATCCTAAGCTTTCCTTCCGGGAGGTGCCTTCCAGCTGAATCGATTAGGTAGGAAGGGGGAAGGTCAAAGGTTCTTTCTGAGATTTTGGTTTTTAATAGCCAGCGTACAGGCAATATCCCCAAAGCCAGCAGCACCAGGGTGGCAACGCATTGGCCCCCTTCACCCCTTCACTTGCTTCCTAGTGACAAAGAGTGACAGCATTTCCTGGTGGGCTGTGACCAGGAGGCCCTGGGGCTGCTGAAGGGGTGAAAGTGCTGCTGAAATGCAAGGTTAGGCGGGAGCAAGGCAGACGTGGACAGAGGCTTCACTCTGAGGAACTGCAGGGGGCTCTCCCCAATGCCTCCCATTAGGACAGCGGTTCTCAACCTGTGGGCCGCGACCCCTTTGGGGGTCGAACGACCCTTTCACAGGGGTCGCCTAAGACCATCAGAAAACACATATATAATTACATATTGTTTTTGTGATTAATCACTATGCTTTATGTTCAATTTGTAACAATGAAAATACACCCTGCATATCAGATATTTACATGACGATTCATAACAGTAGCAACATTACAGTTATGAAGTAGCCACGAAAATAATTTTATGGTTGGGGGTCACCACAACATGAGGAACTGTATTAAAGGGCCGCGGCATGAGGAAGGTTGAGAACCACTGCGTTAGGGGGTGAGTTCAGAAGGAGCCACAGCCAGCCCAGAGTCAGGGCTAGGAGAAGGGAGTGAGGTGCCCGAGGTACCACATTTAAGAAGCCACTCACTCTCCGTAGGTGCAAACGCCTCCTAAAATCTGGTGCCTCTGCCCCTCCCCAGAGCCTCCCAGGCCTTTGGTACCTCATTGTTTCTGACATGCCCATTACATGATGTTGGGTGTGATTCAGTAATAATACAGGAATAGGTGTCAACCAATGACTGTTGGTGCCCACTCAATGCCAACAGGAAGTTCCCAGTTCGTGTGGTGAAGAAGGAAACTTGATTCCCTGCAAGCAGAACAGTGGTGCAGCGGCTCCCCGTGGTTTCAGCCCCCTGTGAAGCAGCCCTGCTGTGGGACAGCGGGCCTGTGAGGAGGCCTGGGTGACATGGCCCCGGCGCTAGGCCCCTCTCTGGCCACAGCCTGCACACTGGCCCCTTTGCAGATGCAGCCGCTCTCCGCCCTTCTCCACGGGGGCCCATGCTCCCTCCCCATCCCCAACCCAGGAAGCAAGGCCACATCACACAGCCTTGGCCTCTGTGACTCTGACCGTCCATCCTGCCACCAGGCTGTGGCACTTGGGATCCAGTGTAGTTCCTGGCATAGGGATTGCGTCAATGTCTAGAATGAATGAATGAATGAGAGGACTGCCTCTGGTCCTGCAGAAGGGGTTTCCCTAAGCCTCTTGGTTTCCTTCATAGTCTCCTCCCGGCCCCTCCTCCACACCCCCCCATGCCCCCCCACGCCCCTCCTCCAAACCCCCCCATGCCCCCCCCCACGCCCCTCCTCCACCCCCTAGGGTTACCTAATTATCTCGGATTCTGTTTCAGTTTCCTCTCTCTTCCTTGGATTCCCAAATCCTGGCGCGGGGAGGCGGGGGCGGGTTGGTGCCTGGGAGGGGTGGTGTAGGGAGTGGGGCGGGGCCCGGAGGAGGGGCCGGTCCCGGGGGAAGCGGTCTGCTCCCGCTGTGGCTCAGGCTTCAGGAGGAGCCTGGACGCGGTTCTGCCGAACCGGTGGTTCCGCGCGGAGAGGGGATGCGGACTGCAGGGCAGCCCTTAATTGCCGGAGCAACGCTCCCACGTCGGAGGCCTCCGGCTACCGGCAGAGCAGCGCGCCGCGCCCAGAGCCCCCTCTGTCCTGCCCGGAGCACCAGTCCGGGGTCAGTTGTCATTTGCCCCGTTTCGTTTTTCTCCTCCGTGTTTGCGACCTAGCCCAGAGCTTCTCGAACCAGCAGTATTGGCTTCAGGGCCTGCCCCCGCGCCCCCAACATAGAATCGATCCTCATTTTAAGGGGATCCTCATGAGGATCGTCGGGTGTTTCGTTTGCAATTCAAGTGCGAGAAGGCTGGCGCCTGCAAGGCTGCTGCTATTCATCTGGTCCAATTGCAGACCCGGCTTTGCAGCCAGGAGACAGGGCCAGCTGCTCCTCTGGCATTAACCTGGCGCTTCGCAGGGGTTTCTGTTTATTGATCTTCACAGTCCTTTTCACACATCCATGCGGGCCTGTTCCCCCTGTTACCTGCCAGCCATCGCGCATTGCTCCAAAAAAGATTCCGACCGTGTCTGCTGTGTGCCCGGTACCATCATAGAGCCCACTTCTTTTGCATTGAAGAGCCATTGCCGCACTTGCCAGTCATCACAATCACTTGGGCAGCTTTAAGGAAAATTAAATAAAATTCATTTACAAAATGCCATCTGGGTAATTCTATAGGCCTTTCATTTCGGCTGCAGCATTGTGGCCAAGTCCCAGTCCATGGCCTGATGATAAGGAACTGATGTCTGCCCCCCAGCCATGAGGGCCTGAGCCCCTCAATAGCCTGGTGAGTGAGCCTGGAGGCCGCGGAGGCGTTAGCCTCCTGTGGCTGCTGTAACAAATGACCACAAACTCAGAGGCTTAAAACAGGTGAAATTTATTCTCTTGAGGTTCTGGAGGCCAGAAGGCCAAGATCGGTTTCTCTGGGCTCAAGACCTGGTGTTGACAGGGCTCACCCCCTTTGGGGCTCTATGCCTTTTCCGGCTTCTGGAGCTGCTTTTCCTGCATCTCATGGCTTGTGGCCTCTTTTTCCGTCTTCACAGCCAGCAGCTTAGCATCTTCACATCTCCCTCCTCTGTTGCATCTTTATGTTGACTTCTCTTCTGTGGCTAGAGTTCCCTCTGCCTCTCTCTTATGAGAACATGTGCTTCCATGGGGGACCCGACCCATCTGGATAATCCAGGATCATCTCCCCACGTCAGGATTTTTAACTTGATCAGATCTGCAAAGACTGGCTCTCCATCTAAGGTGACATTCACAGGTTCCAGGGAAAAGGACTTGGCTGTGAAAGGCCAGAATGGGCCTGATAGCTGTGTCCCTAACTCCTCTTCCAAGAAAAAGCCGCTGAATGTATCAGTTACTCAGCCTGCCCTCATCTCAGCCAATGGGAAAGCAAGGGAAGCTAGCCCAAGGCCAAAAGTATGCTAGCCACCCCCTCCCCCTGTATTTGTGTAACCAGACCCTATCAGGGGTGGGCAAACTTTTTGACTGGAGGGCCACAATGGGTTCTTAAATTGGACTGGAGGGCCAGAACAAAAGCATGGATGGAGTGTTTGTGTGAATATAAATTCAAAGTAAACATCATTATATAAAAGGGTATGGTTTTTTTTTTTTTTTAGTTTTATTCATTTCAAATGGGCTGCATCCGTAGTTTGCCCAAGGCTGCCTAGCTGCACCCTGCCCTTAAGTCACTAGCCCCGGGCCCTCACTCAGCCAACTGGAATTGGCCAAATCTGTGGCCCGAGTGAGCCCTCACCGCCCCCTCCCCCCCCCCCCCAAGCCCTATAAATTCTTTGTTCTCTTGGTACTCCGGGCTCTCTTGCATCCTACCACTGCACCGGTAGAAGCAGAGGGACCAAGCTCAGCTTGAATAAAGACTCTATGCTTTTGCATCGGACTCGGCACTCCCTGGTGGTGTCCTTTGGGGGATCTTGAAATCTGGGCTTAACAGCTGTAAGTTACCGCCCCCCCCCCCCCCCCCCAGATAAGAAATTCCAGGGGCAAGGTTCAGGATCTGAAGGAGGGGCTGACGCACAAATGAAAATGCTATACAAGAAATATGAATTTAGAAGGCTTTGGGGGGCCAGGTGGAACCTCTTTCCTGAAAAGGCACACTGGGACCTGGCCTAGTCCGCTTTTTATTCAGTTTTAGATACACAGCTTGCCCTCAGTAAAACACAGCAAACAAGTAGCAGGCAGACAGTCTCAAAGGTCAGTAA